AGCCTGATGTGAGATGGATTAATTCCTGCAACAGGCAGCAACTGCTGCTGAAGCTTGGGCTCACAGTGATGTGTAAAGTGAACTTGTCTGCTGTGTGATGATTTAATCTGTACACGTACTAATTGCTGTAACAGCCAGACAGCAGGGTATCAATTAGATGCCTGGAGTGGTACATAGGCAACACAATAAACGTGAAGAAGATGTCCTCTCCCTTTGCTCAGGTGATGTCTTTCTCCAGGAAGAGACACACTGATTTTCCACAGGATAACTTGCAGGAGGGAAGAGGCAAGTACCTGGCCATCACTTACCAGACCTGACTGAAGGCAAGTGAAATAGAAACAAACTTGTTGAGATAACTAACATGCTTCCTACGAAGGACACACACACACATAGTGTCTCCTTAAAGAATAGATGTAAGTCTTTCCAGGCATATCCCCACTGTGAAGCATTTGCTTGTGTCTCCCTGAGCCCAAATTCACAGACCTTTTAAACATGTTTCCTGAACTTTGTTCTGGCATCACCACTTCTGTTACTGATTGTTCCTGGAACCACTCTGGGAACAGTTTGCAGGGGTGCCCAAGCTCCCTTCTGCAGGATGGGGCATGGGGTGACCCTCACCAAAATGCAGCTACTGCCTGCCAGGACCACACTCTGTTGCTGCTTTCCAGTGAAGGCCAGACCAGGGGTGCTGCTCCTCCTCTGCTTCAGTACAAAGTCAAAGGGGTTGATACAAGGCTGGATCCCCAGACTAGGAGTAACAAAAGGTACAAAAAAGAGAGCTGGTTAGCTCCCCTGGTTAATAGTTACCTCTGTGCGCAGCTCTGTCATTCCTGCAGGGCAGCTCCTACCCCATGAAAGCTGTCCTGCCAAGTCAGCAACAAAAACATTTGAAGGTTTCATGTAGGGTATGTGACCTGCTCAGCCCTTGGGTGGAATGAAAAGGGAAGAGAGGGTCACTGCAGCCCTCTTAACAGACCTATCCTGCTGACACAGACTTGAGAGAGATTTTGAAAGGGAAATTCCTATGAAGAAGACATCTAACTTGTGAGAAAGCACCGAAAGGAGAAAATGAGATTTCACTGAGAACCACAGAGGCTATTTGCAGAAGACAGGCTACAGCGCAGATAGCTGGTTGGAAAGCTCGAACTCCAGAGTGCAGGATGTGTGGCCATGCCCCAGAGAGCATTAGTCATATTCTGAGTGAATGTTCAGAGCTGGCTGGAGATAAGTATAAACTACAGTATGACAAAGTTGGCAGTACTGTGCATGGACTGTGCTGCCAGAGGGGGGGATATGACCACAGCCCCAGGCCAGGTACATTGACAGCAGCTGAGGAGGTGAATTTGAACTTTATTGCAAGAAAGCAGATGTCGTGCCTCCGGAAGAGAGGAGAAGAGCAGGAGAGCAAGCACCACCATTAACTTCTCCACTGGATGAGAGTGTCTGTAGAAAATAATAAGAAATCACTGACAAATACATGTGTGGCAGGAAGTGAAGAAAAACTGGGGTGTGAAAATGGCGCATGTCTTGGTGTCACATCCTTATTTTCAGCGGGCTGAGATGTTGTGGTGGAGGAGCTCAGCTGTGTTCAAACTGGTCATGAGCTTCCTCCGTGGACCAGGGCTCTTCCTGCCCACCACAGCATCCCCACGACATCCCTGGGGCTGGATGTCACCCCAACTCCTGACATGGGGTGAGAGCCTCACCGGGAACGGGGTGACATACCAACACGGCGATAGGGACGAGCTTTGGGGCGCTGGAAACGGGTAGCGCTGACCAACATCTCCCTGGGCTCCGCGGGGCAGCGACACCGTCACCCCGCGGGGACACGGGGCTGCGGCCGCCATGTCCCCTCCCTCCGCCGGCAGGCTGCGGCGGGGGCCGCTTTCCAGAGAATACGGTAAACATGCCCGCGTCACGTGTGGCCGCCGGCCGCGGCGCGGGGACCGGCCGAGGGGAGGGGAGGGGAGGGGCGGGACGGGACACCGCAGCCCGGCAGAGCGGGGCCACTTGAAGAGGCCGCCGGGCGCCGCCGCCTCGCCCTGCCCGGGCCGGCAGAGAGCATGCCCGCGGCGCGGTAAGGCGGGCAGCTCCGGCACCATGGGGCTGTGCTACAGCCTGCGCTCCCGCCTCGCCGCCGCGCACCCCTCCGCGCCCTACGGCAGCCGCGGCGAGGCGGACATCCCCCCTTCCGCGGCGGATCACGGAGACCCGCAGGTGCGGCACCGGCTGCGGCAGGACCTGCTGGCCAAGGAGAGGGCGGACAAGAAGCGGAGCAAGAGCATCGACAAGACGCTGAAGGCGGAGAAGCGGGAGTACAAGCAGACACACCGGCTGCTGCTGCTGGGTGAGCGAGGGCGGGAGTGGGGCTGCCCGGTTCGGCCGGGTTCGGTTCAGTTCGGTCGGGTCCGGCTGGGCTCGGCTCGGCTCGGCTCGGCCCGGCCCGGCAGGTGCGGGGCCGCCCGGAAGCCGCTGTCAGCACCGATGCCCGGCGGCCCCGCGCTCGCGGGGTGGGCGGTGGCCGCGGTGAGGCCGGGGCGGGGCCGGGGCCGCGCTCACGTGGGCGGCAGCGCCTCAGCGCGCCCGGGCTGCGGCGGGGGGTCCTCGGGCAGGGGAGGTGGTGCCGCGGGATCCCGGGGCTCGGCCGTGCGTGTGGCAGCGGCAGGGCTGCAGCCGGCCTGCGGGAGGAGTGCCCGCAGCAGCGCTCCCCACCCCGCTGAAGATGCTTGCCCCCACAGAGGTGCCGTGTCCGCTTTACCTCAGCTGCTGCTTGGCATAAAGCCACTCACTAGCACCGCAGGAGGAGAGCTCACTGAGCTGCTGCAGTTGCTGTGTAAAGAGAAAGCCCAGGTTTTCCTGTGAGCGTTAATTTGTAGTTCCCTTCCCCGCCTCCCCAGATACCCACTGGGGAAGTTTCGGCCTCTTAAGGCTGAGGCTTGTTTAATCCATCGCTGCCCTGCACTCTTATATACTTCTGGCTTGCGTCTGCCCTGGGCTGTGAGCACTCCCGGGTGGGAGATGCTCCTGCATGGAAGGTGCCTCCAGAAAGGCCTCTTTATCCACTTGTGCGATGTCTGAGCTCGTGTGGTGTGTGACCCCCCACGCAAACGGTCATAGAAAGTCATGCCTTGGCCTTCAGGTAAGTCCGAGCGCTTTGGAAACATTTCTGCTCCCCCTGGTACACTGCAGGAGCACAGATTGCCCTGCACAAGTGGATTGCTGAACTGTGTGCTTATTGGAATAATACAGAATGTTTTCGGATAACTTCAGAGCATTGATTCAGCGTTGGTCTCAGCGTCCTACCCCTGAGATGTGCGTGGTACCGCCTGTGATAAATGGTGAGATTTAGCCCCTGGATGTGTTTGTAGCCTGTAATAGAGGAGCAGAACTTTGAGGAGCTTTAGAAAACACCACCGGACATAGGTTTTGGAGAGTTGGTGGTAAAAGTTTTTATTCTAGAAGCATAGCTTCTTTTGATGTGGTTGTAGCTGTATGGATGTAAGTCTGCTCACAAAGGTGTACTTCTGAGGAGAGGGTTGAGCATCACTTGTGTAAAGACTAAAGCTTCTGTGCTGGGACTGTGTGGGTAAGAAATCACACCTCTAACGTGGTTATGCTGCGGGTACTTTACCATTTGGGTAAATTTTTGTTGGGATTGTTGTTTGTTTTGTTGGTTTTTTTTTAAAGTATTTTGAGATTTTGTCTTTTTTTAAATGTACTTCAAGTTTGTTCTGTAGTGAACAAGTGCTTGAAGAAGGAGATGCAAGAATTGATTTTTATTTGTAGGTTAAGAGAAAAAAGTAGGGCCAATTTTGATGTTAATCTTCAAGCCTTTAAGTCCCAAAGGATATCTGATAGGTGGCTGTATTTGTGATGTTTCAGTTGCCTGTTTTATAGTATTGCCACAGGACTGTTTATTGCAGAAATGCCATTAAACATCGAGTGGGTTAGACAACTTATCTTACCAGTTTAAAATTCTGTATGGTGAAGCCAACAGAGCATTCTTTGTCAAAGTACTGATTTATAAATCTGATGGATGTGAGTCAGTGTTACGCTGGCAGTGGTTTATTATATTTCAGCCTCGACTTGAATAGCAGGAAGTCACTTTTTGGCCCTCTTGTAAATCTTGGGATGCCTAAAGAGACCTATTTCCCTGCTCCTTGCACAGGGACTGTCAGTTTTCCAGTTAGCTTCCTTCCCTCACTGCTTCTCCCCTGCATCCCACTCTCACTGTTACTTGGTGAATTTTCAGTTTCTAAACTGAAATAAAAAGTTTGGGGTATATTTGATTATACTTTATGTAAATCTGCAGGTATTGCTGCCACAGCTGAGTGTCTCTGTGCTGAGCCTTTGCTGGGATGCTCAGGGACTGCACACACAGATAGTGCGTGAGAGTTATATTGCATGAGGAGGGCAGGAGCATCCAGCTGGGATTGAAAGCTGCAACTGAGTCTTCTTCCAAGGAATGGAGTTAGAGTGAGGAAGAAAAGACTGAATAGATGCAGAGCCAGAGATGTCTCCTCACTTGGGGTTGAAGGCTCAATGGCAAAACTGCAATAGCTACTTGTGGTTTCTCACTTGTGCTCCCAACTTTTTAGGCTGATATGCTCCTGCAGGAGCATACTGCTGTTGTAGACAGCAAAGGAGACCACAGGTGGCTGCTCTTTCTTTGAGTGTAACAGAATTTAAATTGAAAATGTACTGATGTTTCAGGTCTGATCTGTCCCCAGCACTAAACTGTTTTTAACATATGGCTGCAATAGCTAATGTACTTCCACGGGCTACAACCCTGGTGTGTTTCTCCCTGTTGCATGCTCAGCTGTACAGAATACAGGGAACGCACAGTCACAGTTTTCTGTTTTGATGTTGTAGTGTGTGTGTAACACACAGCTGTGTGCTCTAGCCTGTTACTCTGAGTATTACTCGGATTAGTGCTCTTTAGCACAACAGATACTTGCGTTCCTGTGTTGCAGTTCCTTTGATTGAAAGAACTTTATGGGAGCACTCAGGGACGTGCAGTGCACGGGTGTAGTTACTCAGTGGATATGTGTACGTCCTGTAACATGAATTTAGGTATTTTTCGTCACCACAGATATATAAGGTAAATTCCCGATTCCTGAAACTTCTCTTGACTTAAGTAGCACAAAGACGTTACATCTCTGGTTTTGAAGCAATTATCTGACTTGGTACATACAGTATTTTTTTGCTTTGTTTTTGTTCAAGGCAAATGCACCATCGGGTGTAATCTCATTGGATTTTGTTTTGTGTACTGTACAAGTCATAACTTCAAGATTACAGTCGTTAATGTTGGCAGTGTGGTGCAAGTTCAGGGTTACTTGGGTATTGGAGGGTGATTTTTCTGTGCATGGGGATTGGTTTTTGTTTCAGGACAATCCTAGCTCTAAAATGGAAAGCTTATGGGAGAAATCATTTTAAAGTTTGGCATAAAAAATTCCATGCATGTGCATCCTCATGGTGATAGTAATGTGGGTCTTTCTCTGTCTTTTTTTTTTTTTAAACTTTAAAGTATAATTCAGCATAAATGTATTTTTTATCTTACAACAAACATCTGAAAACAAGAACTGTAGCCCCACCTGAGGGTTTTAATGCTTTTCATAAGTTAGTATTTTCCAACAAAACCCCACTCTGTCCAAAACTGTTGCTCATCTCTCCTGGTGAATGTGTGTTGTTTCCTCCTCTTCTGTGATTTGGTTTGCTGTAAGAGAGTGAACTCAGGCTGGTCTCCTTGCAATGCTTTGCCAATCTTTGTGTACTTAGGTTTTTTCATTCTCTCAGGCTCACCCATGTAACAAGTACTTGTACTTTATTGAAAAGGAAATGTCTGTTGATATATCGGTACAGATACGTGCACTTATCTTAGGTATTTTTATTAAACTAGAATTAAATGATGACCGTTCTGAATCTTACCTACATCAGTGCTTAAAGAAAAATGTTTCTAACAGAAATATTTATATTGGTAGAAATATGAATATATGGCATGCAAATTTGAAGTTTTCATAGAAGGAATATATTATACAGGAAGAAAAACATACTTTAAAACACTAGGAAATATCAGCATGATGGCTAACCACAGTCACCCTCTCTGTGTGTATGCTGCATGGTAAGCCCTTCCATACCATATAATTAAAGACTGTCTTGTATGGTTTACATTGTATTTTTTTCCACAGGGCTGGAACTTCATTCAAGGCACAAGATGAATGTTGTGCAGTGAATGAGCAGCTATTCAATATTCTTATCCTCCTCATACAATGTGTCACCCTGTGCCCTATTTACGACACACCATCCATACCCTGTACTGAATAGAGAACTGTTGAACTCCTCATGGGCTTTTCTGTAGTACTGATCACTGCAGGGACTGAATGGTTCATAAATGTCAGTGCACAGCACTGCAGTGAAATGAGGTGGTATCATTCTCCTTTAGTGGATGCCAGAAAGAGAAATGCCACCAAAGACTAAAGCTAAAACTGTTGGAAGCTACCACTGATTTTAAATGCCCCGTTTTTGCCTAATGCTAAATTTTTTCTGTAGTGCTCAACCTTTTCAATTTTTTTATAGTAACACTTCATGTGTTCAGAGCATGGACCTCATACTTGTGAACACTCAGCGCTTTTGCAGTGTAAGTTTTAGATGCTCAGAAGTGCATCCAAGGGAGTGAGAAGCACATACGGGTGCCCACTATGGTTACTGCTGCTGTCCAGTTGGCGATGGCAGCTCTGTAGCAAGATGAAACTGGTCTGATTCTTCATAGCAGCATTTAATGGCAAATCCCACAAGATACCCTTTGTCTTGTTGTGATTCCCTGTCTTGCGTGCTTACAGTGTGGTGTTATCCTGACACTCTTGGGGATCAGGCAGGTGAGGAGGGGAAGAAACCCAGTTATGATGATACACACGTATTCAAGCACTTGGTGAAACTTCCTGTTGACAATAGTTTCATTCACTTAAAACTGACTTGTTTCTTGTGCCCCATGTATTGTGAGCTAGAAGAGGGGACATACACCCTGCAAAAAAGTATATGATCCTTATTAGAAGATTGTGTAAAAGATGAACAGAGTAAAAATGCAGAGGGAACCTTTACCCTGGTGCTTCCTGACTCTTGAGAACAAGATATTTAACACTAAACATCTCATACCAAGTTGGTATTTAATTTCCCTTTTAAGAAGAGCAGGAATAGTAAAACCAAAACCTTCTGATTCTGTCCTAGGGGGTGCTTGTGATGCGAGTATCTTGTTCAGTGAAGCAGCCCTGTTACAGCCTGCCCCCTGTACACTGTGATAGCAGCTCGCAGGGCAGCAGTACACCATTGTTCTCCAAAGGGGCTGTCATTAGTGGTGAAGGAATTACAGTATTTTCCAATAGGGTTCCCAGTAATACCAGGCAACTACAAGAACACTTGGGCATGGGAATCACTGTGTTTTCTACCTGCCCAGTACTTTCCAGTGCAGACTTGATGATCCTGCTGTAGACGCTAGGAGGTGGTAGCTAATTTGGGTCTTCGTTTACAATAAAGAGCTTCTGAAAGATGAGTCCTACTCAGTTCCCACTACTGTATACAAAATGCACTTTACAGCATAGAGTGCTGGTAAACAGAGATCTTCTGGGTCTGGAGTGTGTTCACCCTGAACAAAAATACCTGCAAAGCTTTGCAAACTATAACAAAGCTTTACCCAATATGCTAGCAATGCTGGCTCAGGACCTCTGGTGGGATTTGGTCAACATTTACTGAAACAGAGCAATGTAGTGTCTTCAGCATTGGCACATCTATGCTTTAGGTCACTTAGAAAAGTGGTTTTTCTCCTGCTTCCATTTTACAATTTTATAGGAAGAAGACAGGCAAGCTACTTGGCATTCCCTGGTTTTTGTTTGTTTGTTTGGTGTTTGTTGGGTGTTGTTATTTTGCTGTTTCCCAGCACCCCTCCCCATTAACCTGTGCTCTTCGTATGGCTTCCTTGGGAAGGAGGGATGAGAAATTTCTCTCCTGAGTTTGCAGAATGTCATCCTGCCTTGACCCCACATATACACTGTGCTGTCATGGTCAGGTGTGCCATTATCCTGCAAAAAATTTCCATGCAAAACTAGAGGGGCTTATGTGCACCTTAGCCTGTTAGTCTGCTAGTGACACTGCTGAAGCGGATGTCAAGTGTAACTGCTACAAGCATTTGTACTAGCTGATGATTTGTTCATGTTCTTCTTTGGCATCTCCTGTAACCTCAAGAGACTTTTCTAGAAAGCACTGAATATTTTTTTCTTTTGCAAGGAAAGGGCTTGGGGCCTTTGAGTGTTCCTTGTAAAAAAACTACTAATTTCTTCAACATACTGTTCATCAGGGTAGGACCTGGCAGAAGGAGAGATATCCCGGCTACAGCATTTGAATCTAAAGGGTGGGCTTCATGGTATTTGCATGAGCAAATGCCCCATTGCCTTGTGGGCTACCTTTGCACAAAATTTTGGTGTCTTTCCAGTGCTGCCTGCCCTTGAACAGCCTCAGGCAGACAATACCTTGGCTTCTAGAGCTCTACTTAGGCACAGGCGTACAGCAAGATACTGGAAAGCGTGTTAGCCAGCAATCCTAGCTTGATTAAAGCCTGTAATATCAGAAAAAAAGGGATGAATAGTCATCCCAACAGACATGTTGATAGTTTATTTATGACCCTTCTGTGTGCTATGGATATTCACACATGTCCATAAGGTGTGTTCATGTTCATTGAGGAAAAACACTGAAGAGTGCAGTTAGTTCTAATTACATGCAGTTCTTCCCTGGCTCCCTTGAATTTGGGAGTGTACTTACTCACAAATATGCATGATTTCGTTGAATTTCCTTCTAATTGCTCTAATTTAAAAACGGCAACAAAAAAGCCTGGCAATTCCCTGAAGTGAGGACAACTCACATACTTGTCATAAATCACAGTTACCAGGCATATAAATCTCTAATAGTTTAGATATTTGGACTGAAGCATGTGTCTCAAGACAAGAAGTTGAACTCCATGACTTATTCTTATTGTTCCCTGGTCAAAAAAGCATGTGAGGAACAAGCAGTCTATGCTTTATAAATAGTTCAGATGAAGTTTTCTTTACTTCCTCTAACGTGTTTCCCCTGCAAAGGAATCCACAGTATCTGTGTCTGAGCAGCATTTTATAAGATTTATGTGTCACTAGAAAGAAAAGAAAGCTGATGAATCTTCTCTGCATTGAGGAATGTGGGGAGGCAGAGGGTGTTAAACAGATGTCAGAAAGTTGCTGTTTATTTTGCCAAGCAAAGGTAGTGGATGCTGAGGAGGACGGGTGATTTCATAAAAAGGAATAAGATGCAGTTTTACAGTCTATAGTATTGCTCTGTTTAGTCACTTCTCCTGTCTCTGCTGCAGTGTGTTGAAAGAGGAGGGAAATGCTGAAGTTCCTGGGAAAACCTAGTTAAATTCTGATTCCAAATTGGAGGAAGAGTTGGGGGGGAAGGGCCCTCTTGCTGAAGGACTATTCCTTTTCTTTTTCCCCATCCTAAGCGCAGTTAAATCTTCTTATAGGCAGGGATTTACATATAGAAATAGACAACACACCAACTAAAACCCTGGAGCCTCCCATCCCCTGGCATGTCCCACAAGGCTGAGCTTGGCATTAGGCTGTTGATGTATTCAGCACTATTTTCAGAAACCAAATCCACGTGGTTTTACCCCAGCGCAGCTTCACACAGGTTGGTTTGTGCATAGCAAAGCTTCTGCAATTTCACGACTTTGTCCTCAAGGAAGTATATCAGGTTCAGTGGAAAAACAAATGAAGGGAGGGGCCAACCACTCACCCATCTCATGCATGCCCTGCACAGGGATGGCATGGGATTTATCACATTGCTGATGGGAAGGAGCTGTGGAAGCTGCTCCTGAAAGTGACAGTGATTTATGTGTAAGGTTGACTTCTCTGTGAGTGGGAATGGAAAAGTGTTTTTATGTGGATTTTCATGGAAGAGCCTTTCATTTTAAAGCACAATTTCAAACATGGCAGCATTCATTTGATTTTGGAATTTGGTGATAATCTCATCCTGAAACTGACTGCTGTTACTGACTGCTGAAGAGCAGGTTGTGTTGCAGAGGAGCTTGTGAGGCGTGTACTACTCCCTTGGGCCAGTCAGCACAGGTTAGGGGGTAGTTGGGGTATCCAGAAACATGAACTATAAATTCTTCCTGTCATGTTGCAGAGATTGTAGATTTCCCTGATACACCAGAACAATTCGGACCATGGTCTTGCTGCTGATGAAGGTGTGTTGTGCACTCACAGGAACCAAAGGCTGGTGGAAGGGATTTTTCAGGCTCCAGCTTTATGGTTTGTAAGAACGTTGTAAAGCTTTTCATTTAGGACTGGTTGGCGTATGCTTATGGAGAGCCCAGCTCTATTTTCTCATATTTGCAATCTCAGAACTATTACTGTTACTTTAAGTGTCCTTTCTCTTTTTGTCAAGGCAAAAATAGCAGAGTATCCCAGGGGTTAGGTTGTCCTCTTCATGTTGAGTCTGAAGGGGCTCCATCTTCACCTCCTTCTTATTTCACATGATGAAGTGAATCGTGACGCAGTGCAACAGCTAGGCTTATACCTGTTGGTTGAATGTAGAGTAGCTGTAGTGTTAATTTCAGTGTACGAGTGAGTGCCCTAACTGATGCTTGTGCTACATCTGCTCAGTTCAGTACCATTCAGGAGCGCAGCTGCAGTCTCCGAGGAAGAGACGCTTAGTGTTACTCTGTGAGCTTCTCATATTGTCTTGCACTGTATGAGAGCAGTTTAAGGCATCAAAGCAAGGTGACCACTTTAGTCCTTTCTGGCTTTGGTTTTGCTTATATTGGTTTGACTGGGACACCAAAAACTGTGCAATTCCTTTGCCTGGAGGTTTTGTGGGACTGGGACCTCACAAGGAGAGGGAACTGAGACACTGAGGAGAAGGGCATGCTATTGTGAGCTGGAAGTCTGCATTCAGACTTTGATTTTTGTAAATACCAGTTAAAACTGTCTGTTTGGAAGAAAAATACTGTGTGAAGTACTCTATTGATGGTTTCCCTGCCTTATCGCCACAATTTGGTAGACCTGATTTTTCTCTTATTAAAAACACAAATAAATAGCTTTTAGACTGTAAAAGCTGAAAGATATTTTCTCTGCTAAGCCTTATGCCTTAACACTGCCTGTGCTTTCATTTCTCTTCTGTGAAGTTTAATCTTGTCTGTAGCATTTTGTGGTTTTAGGCGGTGAGTTATGCAGGGCTGGATTTGCAGGTATTTCAGAAAAATGTGTATTTTTTTTAAAAAAGCACTTGAAATATTCACAAGAAAAACACTCCTTCTGGG